CCAAGCATGATGTCCTTCTCCAGGGACTGATCCCTCCTGACAACATGCCAAAGTATGTGAGACGTAGTCTCGCCATCCTTGCTTCTAAGGAGCATTCTGGTTGTACTTCTTCCAAGACAGATTTGTTTGTTCTTTTGGCAGTCCATTGTATATTCAATATTCTTTGCTGACACTACAATTCAAAGATGTCAATTCTTCTTCAGTCTTCCTTATTCATCGTCCAGCTTTCACATACATATGTGGCGACTAAAAACACCATGGCTTGGGTCAGGCACACCTTAGTCCTCAAGGTGACATCTTTGCTTTTCAACATTTTAAAGAGGTCTTTTGCAGTAGATTTGCCCAATGCAATGCGTCTTTTGATTTCTTGACTGCTTCTGTGGGTGTTGATTGTGGATCCAAGTAAAATGAAATCCTTGACAACTTCAATCTTTTCTCCTTTTATCATGATGTTGCTTATTGGTCCAGTTGTGAGGATTTTTGTTTTCTTTATGTTGAGGTGTAATCATATTGAAGGCTGTCGTCTTTGATCTTCATCAGTAAGTGCTTCAAGTCCTCTTTACTTTCAGCAAGCAAGGTTGTGTCATCTGCATAACTCAGGTTGTTAATGAGTCTTCCACCAATCCTGATGCTCCGTTCTTCTTCATATAGTCCAGCTTCTCGGATTATCTGCTCAGCATACAGATTGAATACGTATGCTGAAAGGATACAACCCTGATGCACACCTTTCATAGCAACATGCAGGCCCCCACAGAATGGCAAACTGATAGATGCATGGGGGGTGATGTCCAGTTAGACCTCATGATACCGATAAAATCTAAAATTCTGCAAGCAAGTTAGGCTGATTGTCTTCCTTTAAATTATTTTAAGACTCAAATAGCCAAAGCTACTTCAACAAGGGAATCTTGACACTGGTACATTTGGAGTATAAAGTAAGGAAAAAAATGTGTTTATCATCTTTCCACTATGGCTTTAGTATAAGCCTTGTTTGAATGACTTCATAACTGAAGACACAATGTTGCCTGTTGGTATTCTGTACTAATGTTAGGGGACATACCTAAGAATAAAAACGGCTTTAAGTGTTAAAATTGCAAACCTTAATTTATGAGAACCCCCTGGAAGGCTTAGCCTTTTTTTCTTTTTTTGCCCCCAAAGCCTAACATGATTCACTTGCGTCAACATTACATGGGGTACTTGTCAAAATGCAGATTCCCGGGTTCCACACTACACCTACTAACTGAATCTCCAGGGCTTGGAATCCAGGAATCCACATTTTAAATAAATGCCCCCAGGTGACCTCTGCCCTGAGAGTAATCAGAGTATACCAGGAGTTTATGTCTTTTAAATTCTCGGCTGCTCACACACACAGAAGAAAGCACAAAAATAGGACAGAAAAATTGCAGTCATTTTTTAAGTTCAGAATTTACAACCCTCTTCCCTACCTTTACTGAATTCTTCCTAGATTTTGGATTCTGCTTACCTACTTGTACCTACCTGCTCATGACTGCTGCCCTCCTAGCCTTCTGATAGGAGGTTTCACAGATGTATGAGGAGAAAAATATTCAAGCACCAAATTTAGACTCCTGGTTGCTTTCCTTTCCATTTCTTTCTTACCCTCCATCCCTCAACACCTTCATGGTTTTTCCTTTTTTGTTGTTTTATTTCCATTTTTTTTTTTTTTTTTTTTAGCATCTCTGCATCTGGAAAGCTCTCTTAGCTCAGAACTGGAGCTACAGACCATGCTTTGATATCAAGTCTATAATTAGTGTTACTTTTAATTCATTCTGCCTGTATAAACATTTTGGGGAGAGAAGGTGTGACTACGTGGACTGATATGCCCTCTACTGGCAAAAGCCACTATAACTAGGGTGGTCATATAATTTATTATCCAAATGGAGACAATTTTGAGAGTAAAGAGGGGCACTGTTATACTGAAACCAGGATAAAATTGCTGGGAACCATATGACCCAGCAATTCAGTCTTACATATTGCTGAGCAAGTGGCGCCTGTTACCACCTCCAGGGGAGAAGGCCCATCACATGGAGGATAGTAACCCACTCCACAATCTGCAAGTGTTGGGGCTGCCAACCAAAGTATGACTCACACACAGGCACTGGATGGCACAACACTTTACTCACATAGAGAAGAGACAGAGCAAGTTCAGCTTCAAAAGTGGGTGTTGGTCGTCCATGACCAGTGGGTCTCACTCCATAGCCAACATAGGGAGATGGTCTGCACACACCCCTCTTGTGCTACAGGAGAAGGACCCCATTCCATCCCCTCTGGGAACAGATATAACAGTGGGATTGGCCAGGTGCCTCATAACCCACACGTTTAGCTAAGCAGTTCCTGAGAATGTGGACATGTGCTCGAAGCAAGGGGTGGTGGGGGGATGTGCTTATAGGCCAGCATCTGCTGTGGGATGTGTTTTGGGTCAAGACACTCCAGAAAGGGAGTCAACTCACACTCACACCCGGTTCAAGAAGTCAGGCCAAGGTTCATTCGTGGGTCACAGTCTGAGTGCAGTCTGCTGTCTTCTATACATTTATACTGGAAAAATTAAAACATATGTCCACAAAGACTGCACATAAATGTTCACAGCAGCATTATTCATAATGGTCAAAAAGTGCAAACAACCAAGTATCCATCAACTGATGAATGGATAAACAAAATGTAGTATATCCATATAAAGGAATACCATTCAGCAATAAAAAGGAACACAACCGAAACATGCTACAACATGATGAACCTTGTGCAGAATAATGGACCCCCAAAGATATCAACATTTTAATCCCCAGAACCTGTGAGTATGTTGTTACCTTACATGGAAAAACGAGCTTCGTAGATGTGATTAAGTTGAGGGGAGATTACCTTGGATTATCCAGGGGGGCCCAATGTAATCACACAGGTCCTTGTAAGAGGGTGGCAAGAGGATCAGAGTCAGAAAAGGAGATGTGACAATGGAAGCAGAGTTCGAAGTGATGTCGCCACAAGTCAAGGAATGGGAGCCTCTAGAAGCCGGAAAAGGCAATGGCTGGATTCTCCCCTAGAGCCTCCAGAAGGAACACAGCTCTGCCTATAACTTGATTTTAGCCTCATAAGACCCAACTCACACTTCTGATCTCCAGAACTGTCATAGAATAAGTTTGTGTTGTGGTATGCCACCAGGTTTGTGGTAATTTGTTACAGCACCAATAAACCAAAAAAAGAAAAACCAAACCCATTGCGGTCGAATTGATTCCGACGCATAGCAACCCTATAGAACAGAGTAGAACCGTCCCATAGAGTTTCCAAGGAGAGCCTGGTGGATTTGAACTGCTCACCTTTCGGTTAGCAGCCAGCCATAGCTCTTAACCACAATGCCACCAGGGTTCACAGCACCAACAGGAAACTAATAAAACTTCAAAGACATTAAGCTAAGTGAAAAAAGCTAGATGCAAACCCCCCACATACTGTATGATTCCATTTACATTTAAACTCATTAGGAAATTCTTTAAAAATTATTTTATTCTCAGGAAACACTTTATGTGCACATATACACATACACATCTAGAAATACTGGCACGATGTATCAGTTGTAGGCAGAAGGCTGGTGAGGAGGTGAGGGATGTTGGTTGGAACCACTCTTCAATTATCTTTATAATTTTGTTCTTTTTGAATCTGTGTTTGGGCAAAGCTCAGGAAGACTTGCTCCAGTGTGTTATGACTAATGGAATAATCTTCTAATCCATATTCATCTTTGATTGACTCCAAGATACCAAATACCTACAGGGCAGCAGAAGAAATCACTGTTACCAAAGCCCCTCAGAGGGAAAGGTGGGGAAAAACACTGGGTTGGTGGAAGAAGAAGGGAGAAGAAGGCTCTATTTACCCTCTCCTTGTATGACCTTTGGAAACCCTGGCAACGTAGTGCTTAAGAGCTACAGCTGCTAACCAAAAGGTTGGCAGTTCAAATCTACCAGGTGCTCCTTGGAAACTCTATGGGGCAGTTCTACTCCGTCCTAAAGTGTTGCTATGAGTTGGAATCGACTCAATGGCAACAGGTTTTATTTTTGTATGACCTTGGAGACTCCCTGTGAAGCTAATAAATGCCCAAATTTGGCAAGGATGTTAGGAAAAGTTTTGCCCCTCTACCTCTCTGTCAATATCAGTTTCCCAGGATACTGTGAATCTATAAACTTCACACCTGCTGAAACAGAATTCATCTATTTATGCCTTCAAATTACAAATAAGTGCTAATAGGCCAAAGTAATTTAAGACAAAGATATGTTTGATAGAATTACTATGGTGAGGGCTGGGAAGAAACTATACGGACTTTACAAAGTATTTAGGAAAGGGAAGAACAGATTTCAGATCTAGTGATGGAACCAAGCTTGACTGAAATCTCAGATGCGGAATATGAATACTCTATATCATCCACCAACTCTAAAATCAAACACCTATGGTTTTAGGAGAACCTGGTAGCACACTCACCTGACTCCAGGTAAAGTCCTTGCTGGGTATGTGGTAATGGACAATCCTTTGGTACTCATGCTTTAGGGAACTGTCTGAGAAAGGGAAAGAGATGCATTTTGAGAGAGATAGGGTGGATCAAAGTAGTCCTGGTGGCACAGTGGTTAAGTGCTTGGCTGCTAACCAAAAAGTCGGTGGTTTGAACCCACCATCCACTCCGTGGGAGAAAGATTTGGCAGTCTGCTTCCATAAAAATTTACAGCCTAGAAAACCCTACGGGGCAGTTCTACTCCATCCTACAGGGTTGCTATGAGTTGGAATCGACTCCTTAGCAATGAGTTTAGGGTGGAACAAGGGCCCTTTCCTAACATGTGGTTTTCAAACCAAAGCAAAGGTTAGAGTCAATTCCAAAGAGGGGAAAAGTCAAAAGCTTCTAATTAAAAAAAAAATGTTGTTCATAGACTTACTATCTAGTTACATTTGACATTTTGCTAAATACATTGCTATTTTCTATGCCCCTTAAAAATGCAACAGGAGAACTGTTGGAAGGAGGTACAGGTCCATTCTGTGCCCCTATATTTGCACCAGGGAAAAGTACCAAGTTAAAAAGATGCTTCTCTCACTTTATTCTTGACTGTGTTTCTTCCCTGCAGTTAATTTTCTGGTCTCCTTTTATTGTACGTAAAGGAGGAATCTTTCTCTATTTTACATTAAAAATAGTAGGTAACATTCTACTTTGGTAACATTCTTTAATTACTGGGTTCCTTGCATTTTAGAAGGAGCAATCCTTGAAAAAAATCAGGAATTCATTTCTCTAAGCAACTAAATTTGTGGTAATTTGTTGCAGCAGCAATAGGAAACTAATTTAAGCCAGATTAATGGCTTAAATTGAAATTATGTGAAAACATGCAAATCACTCAGAGTTTTGATTCACAAGGTTGATAATTCCAGGGGTTCTAATGGCACCATGAGCCCCTAGGTGGTGCATACAGTTAACATGCTCAGCTTCTAAACAAAAGGTTGCAGGCTGAAGTCCACCCAGAGGTGTCTTGGAAGGAAGGCCTGGTGATCTACTTCCAAACATCAGCCATTGAACATCCTATGGTACACAGTTCTACTCTGACACACATGAGGTTGCCACAAGCCGGAGTCTACTTGAGGGCAACTAGGTTTTCTTTTTGTTTTTTTAAAGGCATCACGGAGAATCACTGTATGTTATTTTCTCATTAAGTGTATTTTAAAAGTACTTAAACAAAAATATCTGATTCCTTTAAAAGGAGAAATAGAAAGCCTGAGAGAGTGATATCACTATTTGATTCAAATAACAACATAGGACCCTGAAAGAAAATGAGCCCTGGTGGAGCAATGGTTAAGCACTTGGCTGCTAACCAAAAGGTTAGCCATTTGAACCCAACCAACCACTCTGCAGGAAAAAGACCTGGTGATCTGCCTCCGTAAAGATTACAGCCTAGGAAACCGTATGGGACAGTTGTATTCTGTCACATGGGGTTGCTATGAGTCAAAACTTGACAGCACCCAACAACAACAACCCTCAAAGAATGGGAAACTAGATGCAGGAGGAGAAAGAGGAAAATGCAGAGACCTGTCCTTTCTGTTTTAACCAAGAGCAGAAGAAAACAATGGACTGGAATGGTAACAGGGGGTCTTCCTTTTGGAAGCTAAAAAAAAATGAGGATGTGAAGTATTCAGGCAGCAGAATGAAATGACTGAAGGCAGTAGAAAGCTGCTTTGAAAAGCTTTTGACTCTAAGCGTGAAGGGGTAGAGGCACAGATGGAAGTCTCCCTATTTGCCTGACAATTGTAGAGCTAGACAAAGACAAATGATTTTGCTTACTCTGAGATGGAGCAAGAGTTATCAAGAACAATAAAAGATTGTTGAGAATGATTCCAAACTGGATACTGAGATTAGAATTTAGAGAACAACTGAAAGCAATATACATTCTCTTTTAAAATTATTAAGTAAATATTAACTATTATGAGTTAATGTTGTAATTTTTTTTTTCCTGTTTATGGGTCTGCCTTACCCATTAAACTCCATGAAGTCAGGGATCATGTATTGTTTATCTTTACACCCTTAGGACCTAGCACTATGCCTACAAATAGTAATGTCTCAAAATAATGTTAATGACAATTAAATTGGTCTCCTGGAAAAGGCACTCATTTTAAAGGTCCAGATGAAGTCCCACTACCTTGCTGAACTCTTCCATGACTACTTCAGTCTCCATTTATCCCTCACTCTTCTGAATTTCTATACTACTTTATCTATGCCACACCGTTAGGCACTGTCCTATACCTAAACCACATATACAGTGTCCTATACCTCAAGACTTTTTACCTAAATACCCTTGACAGTTGCACCACCAGGGCTCCTTTTCTTTGAAAGTACTATGTTGTTATTTGAATCAAATAGTATCGAATGGAGAAAATACTGAAGTTGTCACAGATTTCATTTTACTTGGATCCATAATCAATGCCCACGGAAGCAGCAGTCAAGAAATCAAATGATGGATTGCATTGGGCAAATCTGCTGCAACAGACCTCTTTAAAGTGTTAAAAAGCAAAGATGTCACTTTGAGGACTAGGGTGTGCTTGACCCAAGCCATGGTATTTTCAATCGCCTCATATGCATCCAAAAGCTGGACAATAAATAAGGAAGACTGAAGAAGAACCGATGCATTTGAATTATGGTGCTGGCAAAGAATACTGAATATACCATGGACTGCCAGAAGAACTAACAAATCTGTCTTGGAAGAAGTACAAACAGAATGTTCCTTAGAAGCGAGGATAGCGAGATTTCTCCTCACATACTTTGGACATGTGATCGGGGGTCCAGTCCCTGGAGAAGGACATAATGCTAGGTAAAGTTGAGGGTCAGCAAAAAAGAGGAGGACCCTCAATGAGATGGACTGACATAGTGGTTGCAACAATGGGCTCAAACATAGCAACAACTGTGAAGATGGTGCAGGACCAGGCAATGTTTCCTTCTTTTGTACACAGGGTTAGAACTGACTCAATGGAACCTAACAACAACAACATACCTAAATATAAGGAGTCCTGGTGGCGCAATGATTAGGTGCTCAGCTGCTAATCAAAAGGTTAATGGTTCGAACCCACCCAGTGGCTCTTGGGGAGAAAGACCTGGCCATGTGCTTCTGTAAAGATTACAGCCTAGAAAACCCTATGGGGCAGTTCTATTCTGTCACATGGGGTCACAATGAGTTAAAAATTGACTTGATGGCACCTAGCAACAACACCACCACCTAAATATAAGGAGACCCTAGGTGGTACAAATGGTTAAGTGCTTGACTACTAACCGAACATTAGCAGTTCAAACCCACTCAGAGGTGCCTCAGAAGTTAAGGCCCAGTGATATGCTTCCAAAAGGTCACAGCTTTGAAAATTCTGTGGAACAGTTCTACTCTGCACACATGGGTCGCTATGAGTTGTAATCGACTTGATGGCAACCAACAAAAACACTACCTAAATATTCTAATAATGACAACAACTTTAAAACATTAAACAGTGTAATTTTAACCTACCTTATTTTTATAGGAAAAAATAACTCAGAAAAAATCGTATGCTCTATACCTGCTGTGCCTTAGGTCGGCAAGACAGTGAAGGCCAGACACGGCCACCTAGTTATGCTAAGGAGTAATTAAGCTAGAAAGATCCTCACTGGGCAAACCGGCATTATTCAGTGAGATACTATAGACAGAAGAGGAAAACAAGGACTAGATCTAGACTTGGAGGGAGGAGTATGACAGACAAGTGGAAGAGGCTTCACTAAGTAAAATTTGTGCACAATAGGAATAAAAAAAAAAGTTGCAGACCAACGCTTTTTATTTTTGCCAGCTCACAACTACCCAGCTGTTGTCCTGCACCTCTGCAGTACATCTCGGGCTAGGCTAAGCTCCAATCTTTTAGTTTCTTTGTGGGAAAAAATAACCCTTGCAGCAAGGAAGGAGTTACGGTACTAGGATCCTGATAATTATACCACAAGTAAAATTAAAAACATATATTTTTGAGGAAGACTTTTTGATAATTTTGTAATCTCTGAATTTCATCACAAGAAGAACAAATATTTTCTCATCTCTTCTGTGGCCTAATTTTTTACTTTATTTTTTATTGTAGTGCTTTAAGTGAAAGTTTACAATTCAAGTTAGTCTCTCCTACAAAAATCTATAGATACATTGTTATGTGACCCTAGTTGCTCTCCCTATACTGGGACAGCACACTCCTTTCCACCCCAGATTTCCCATGTCCATTCAACCAGCTCCTGACCCTCTCTACTTCTCAGCTCAGCTCTGGACAGGAACTGCACATTGAGTCTCATGTATCTTCTGTGGCCTAATTTGACTGACAAAGCCCTAAGGTATAAGAATATAAGTACATAAGAGTTTCCACACTGGGCTGGGCTCCAATTTTGTTTCTATTCCAAGACATAGTCCTTACCTTAATGGAGTTTACAAGTGAGAAAGACAGCCAATTAGATTAGCAATTGCATAAAGTATGAAAAGTTCTGTGACAAGGCAAGTATGGGGACAGACAGCAAAAGCATATCACTAGTCTATACTCTGAAGTCAGAGTGATCTGTCTGAATCAAATCTTGTTTCCAGCAAAAATTTATTCAGTACCTACTATGTGCCAGACACTATGCTAAGCATGGGAATATGATTAACCATAGGTGGCAGAAATAAAGCACGTAATTTTAAGTGCAATGAATATTACAAAGAATGCTATGTAAGCATATAATGTAGTTGGAGCAGTGAAGAGGCACAGGACAGAGAAGATTTCCGTAAGAAAATAACAACATCCAAGCTGAGATGTGAGAATTATTAGGTAGGAGTTAGCTGTGTGTGAGTGTGTAAGGGGTAATGGGGGGGACAGGGAAGGGAGGAAGAGCTTCCCATTGCTCTTTGGATAAAATCTAAACTCCTTAACACAGCATAAAAGGCCTTCATGGTGTCACCCTTTTCTACCTCTTCACTTGGATTTGAGCGTGTAGAATGGCTCAGAGAGTGGAGAAAGACTAAATCCTGGGAGATAGTTTGGAGGCTGTTGCAGTTATTGGAGAGGTAAGTGATAGTTTTCCTAAACTCAGGCACTATGGCATGTGGATAGATAATTTCTGGATGTTCACTAGAAACTGGACTGAGTTGTTTTACTTTGTCCCCCCTTAGAAAGACCCATACAGCTTATATGGTTGAGAGGCAAGAGTGCCAGTGTACCAGGCTCAGTCAGGGACTCTCCCCTCTACCTAGTGGGGCTCTCAGGATGTTTTCCACTGACAACAAAGCCAGAGCAAAGCCAGAGCAAATCCAGAACTGTGAACTGTTTTACCAGATGCCCAGAAAGAAGACAGAGTTGTGAGGACATGTATGTCTGCGTAACAGTGGTTTGTCATTTATGTAGAGAGGACATTTGCACTGTGTAGACATTTATTTGTTGGTTGTATGTGTGGGTAGGTGCCTCATATAAAAAAATTTCTGCCTGAAAAACGAGAAGAGAGCTGTCAATGCTAGTTAGCATTCCTTGAGTACACCTTGGCTAAGGGAGCAGGGAGAAATCATAAAAATTGGGATGAATAATCGGCACATAGATAATTAAGAATTATTCTGTAGTTATGAAGAATTATGTAGAATGTAGTTCTAGCTAGAGTCACAGGGACAAGAAAGCATTGTAGTTGGTTCATAACAAAGAGGTGTTTCTGGGGTCTCATTATCTCTTATCTCTACATAATTTGGGAAAGCTTGGCAACATTGGGTCCCAACAGAAGCTTGACTGGGAAGGTTGTACCTAAGCTTTAGTACCTGGAAAGGTTGTTTTAATGAACGTCTTTAGCGCTTGCAGTTCTATCAGGGATTTATTCCTCTTGACTTTGGCCAGTAGCGTGAATCCACTTCCAAACTTGTTCTTGAGATACTGTGGACTGCCGAGGCACTTGAACTTCCCATTTTCCATAACAGCCAGTCTTGTACACAAAGCCTCACATTCTTCCATACTGGGAAAATAAGGACAAGACAGAGGTAGCGCTGCAGAGGCCCACCATGTGGGGTACAGCTGTGACCCTCTGAGTCAGGAAAGACCTGCTATGACTGTTCTTTAGGACCCCCACAAGGTTTAGGGGACACAGATAGTCTCTCGTAGTCAAAATAAAAACAGAAACCAAGTGGCACATGCCTAAATCTGCAATACAAGTTAGCCCCAACTTATTTCTACTTCCCCACTTTTGAATAGAATGTTCCAGAGGTATCATCTAAGGACTCTAGGCTGTTTCCTTTGGCAGAAATCAGACTGTACTTCCTCCAGGGAGGTTAACAGATCCTGGCAAAGTTATTACTGACCTATATTCTTAGCCTCAACCAAGTCCTCATGGTACCGAGTGTAACTCCCCTCCCTCCCACCCCTCAATCAAGATATGAGTCACACCTATGGGAGATTATGACAACGGCCTTGCTGGACTCACGGATCCGTGAGACAATGTCCCAGAGGAGGCGTCGGGCCACAGGATCCATGCCGGAGGATGGCTTATCCAGGAAGATGATGTCAGGCCTTCCCAGCAGGGCAATACCTGTGCTAAGCTTACGTCTGGTGCCACTACTACATGGGGAAGGTTTAAAGAGAAGGGGGCAAGAAGGAGAGGAGATTATAAATTGTATTAATTCCTACATATATATCTAATGCTGAGAAGCTTAATAAATATCATGAAATGTGTTCTATACTTGTTCTTAGTGGTATTTTGTATGTATTTTTATCATACACTCTGTCATACAGTGTAGCTATGAGTTGGAATTGACTTGACAGCGCACACCATAAGTATGTGTGTGTGTATATATATATGCACACATGCATGTATATGTGTGTATGTGTACATATTTAACATATATAACATATTACATAAATAACTTCATGTGTGTCTCTATTGTTGGCAAATGAGTCCTGGAAGTGTTCTTAGTGCACTATTTATCCATTCTGCATGACAATTCAACTTTGCCTAACTCTCTAGGTATGCTTCTCCTGGTAACCAGAGAGTGTTAACTACGTTACCAGGCAACATTGCTTAGGGTAACAATGAATTGATAAAGTACACCTAGACTAGGAGAACTAGAAACAACTAAGTCATTTTTTTTAAATAATATTTTTAAATTTCTTATGATTTTACATCATGAAATTTAGTTTAGTGGGCTCAGTAAGGTGGTTCTTTTGCTTTTCATAATATTTTTGTTGTTGTTGCTAGGTGCTACTGAGTCAGTTCTAACTCACAGCAACCCTATGTACAACAGAATGAAATGTTGCCCAGGTCCTGTGCCATCCTCACAATTGTTGCTGTGATTGAGCCCATTGCTGCAGCCACTGTGTCAATCCATTTCATTAAGGGTCTTCCTCTTTTTTGTTGACCCTCTACTTTACCCAGCATGATGTCCTTCCCCAGGTACTGGTCCCTCCTAACCATAAGTCCAAAGTACATGAGATGAAGTCTCACCATCCTCACTTCTAAGGGGCATTTTGGCTGTACTTCTTCCAAGACAGATTTGTTCGTTCTTCTGGTAGTCCATGGTATATTCAATATTCTTCACCAACACTATAATTCAAGTGCATCAATTCTTCTTCGGTCTTTCTTATTCATTGTCCAGCTTTGGCATGTGTATGAGGCAACTGAAAATACCATGGCTTGGGTCAGGTACATCTTAGTCCTCAAAGTGACACCTTTGCTTTTTAACTCTTTAAAGAGGTCTTCTTTTCCCATATGTTTATTATTTACTGAGTAGCAACTTCAAATGAAGAAGGATTGATAGTTGGAAAATATGGCCTTGGTGATAGAAACTATGCCGGAGATTGCATGATAGAATTTTGCAAGACCAACGATTCTTCATTGCAAATACCTTTTTTCAACAGCATAAATGGTGACTATACACATGGACCTCGCCAGATGGAATACACAAGAATCAAATTGACTATATCTGTGGAAAGAGACGATGGAAAACCTCAATATCATCAGTCAGAACAAGGCCAGAAGCCGACTGTGGAACAGACCATCGATTGCTCTTATGCAAGGTCAAACTGAAGCTGAAGAAAATTAGAACAAGTCCATGAGAGCCAAAGTATGACCTTGAGTATATCCCACCTGAATTTAGAGACCATCTCAATAACAGATTTAAAGCATTGAACACTAATGACCAAAGATCAGATGAGTTGTGGAATGACATCAAGGACATCATACATGAAGAAAGCAAGAGGTCATTAAAAAGAAAGGAAAGAAAGAAAAGATCAAAACGGATGTCAGAAGAGACTCTGAAACTTGCCCTTGGACATGGAGTAGTTAAAGCTAAAGGGAGAAATGATGAAGTAAAAGAGCTGAACAGAAGATTTCAAAAGGCAGCTCAAGACTACAAAGTAAAGTATTATAATGACATGTGCAAAGACCTGGAGTTAGAAAACCAAAAGGGAAGAACACACTCAGTATTTCTCAAGCAGAAAGAACTAAAGAAAAAATTCAAGCCTTGAGTTGCAATAGTGAAGGATTCTATGGGCAAAATACCGAACAATGCAAAAAGCATCAAAAGAAGATGGAAGGAATACACAAAGTCACTGTACTAAAAAGAATTGGTCGAAGTTCAATCATTTCAGGAGGTAGCTGTCTTAGTCATCTAGTGCTACTCTAACAGAAATACCACAAGTGGATGGCTTTAACAAAGAGAAATTTCTTCTCTCACAGTCTAGGAGGCTAGAAGTCTGAATTCAGGATGCCAGCTCCAGGGGAAGGCTTTCTCTCTCTGTCGAATCTGAGGGAAGGTCCTCGTCATCAATCTTCCCCGTCAAGGAGCTTCTCAGAGCAATGACCCTGGGTCCAAAAGATGCACTATTTTCCTGGCTGTTTCTTGGTGGTATGAGGTCCCCATGTCTCTCTGCTCACTTCTCTCTTTTATATCTCAAAAGAGATTGGTTTAAGACACAACCTAATCTTGTAGACTGAGTCCTGCCTCATTAACTGCCCCTAATCTTGTCTCGTTAACATCATAGATGTAAGATTTACAACACATAGGAAAGTCACATCAGTGACAAAATGGTGGACAATCACACAATATGGGGAATCATGGCCTACACAAGTTGACACACATTTTAGGGGGATATAATTCAATCCATAACATTCTACCCCTTGGCCCCCCAAATTCATGTCCTTGTCACATGTAAAACATATTCACTCCATCATATCATAGCAAAAGTCTTAAATCAACTCCGAGTCCAAAACCCAAAAATTCCTCTTCATCTGTGATATCTAGAACACAAGTTATCTGCTTCCAAAGTACAATGGTGGAACAGACACAAGCCAGAAATTTCCATTACAAATGGGAGAAATTGGAGGGAAAGAAGGAATAATAGGCACCAAGCAAGTCAGCAGAACACATTAAATTAGCTCCCATGGCTTGAAAATATTCCTCTGTTCTCTGAGACCATTTAGGCACTGCCCCTGCCCTCCACACTCTGGGTGTTGGCCACACTCTCCAGTTCTGGGTAGAGGCCCCTAGGTCCTGGACTTCAGCTCTACCTTCAGGCCCACTGGAATGGCAACTCTGCTCTCTCAAATTTGGGCGGCCCCATTCTCCTCGTCCATCTGAGTGGCAACTCCACCTTTTGAGACCCCAGAGGTCGTGGCACTACCCTTTGAGACTGAGGCTCTGCTTTCTGTGTTCCTTGTCTCTTCAGCTTCTGCTTCCTAGTTCCTTGGCCTCTGGGCCCCTTGAGCCTCGCTGCCCGCATCTGCCCTGCTGGGGCAAGTGTTCAAAGCTCTTTAGCCCCACAGATAAGTGCCTGGAGGCACCCTACTCTGCCAGTAAACTTCAGCCGGAAGGCACTCAGCTCTCTTGCTCCGTGGGTTGGCTCCAGCACTGTCTCACAAGAGTCTCCTGGTTCTGCTGCTGCCATTTCTCTGCTGCTGCCGTTTCTCACCATCTGTGCCATCTCCAGCGTAACAGCTCTCCTCACTTCCTTCTGAGTCCTCACCAGAACTGTCTTTGATGTCCATAATTCCACCAATGGTCTCTTCAAGGCAATCTAGGCTTTTACTATTAGGCAGTTTAAAATTCTTCCAGCCTCCTATCCATTCACAGTTTGAAAACTGCTTCCACATTTAGATATCTGTTAGAGAAGCACCCCACTCCTAGTACCAAATTCTGTCTTAGTCTTCTAGTGCTACTCTAACAGAAATACCACAAGTGGATGGCTTTAACAAAGAGAAATTTCTTTTCTCACAGTCTAGGAGGCTAGAAGTCTAAATTCAGGGTGCCAGCTCCAGGGGAAGGCTTTCTCTCTCTGTTGGATCTGGGGGAAGGTCCTTGTCATCAATCTTCCCAGTCAAGGAGCTTCTCAGAGCAACAACCCTGGGTCCAAAGGATGCGCTATTCTCCTGGCTCTTGTTTCTTGGTGGTATGAGGTCCCTATGTCTCTCTGCTCACTTCTCTCTTTTATATCTCAAAAGAGATTGGTTTAAGACACAACCTAATCTTGTAGATTGAGTCCTGCCTCATTAACGTAACTGCCTCTAACCCTCCTTATTACTATCACAGAGGTAGGATTTACAACACATAGGAAAATCACATCAAATGACAAAACGGTGGACAATCACACAATACTGGGAATCATGGCCTAGCCAAGCTGACATATGTTTCTGAAGGACACAATTCAATCCATAATAGTAGCATATGATCAAGAATCAATGGTTCTGAAGCAAGAAGCCCAAGCTGCAGTGAAGGTATTGGTGAAAAACAAGGCTCCAGGAATTGACAAAATACCAACTGAGATGTTTCAACAAATGGATGCAGTGCTGGAAGTGCTCATTCATCTATGCCAAGAAATTTGGAGGACAGCTACCTGGGCAACCGACTGGAAGAGATCCGTATTTATGCCTATTCCAAAGAAAGGTGATCCAACCAAACGTGGAAATTATCAAACAATATCATTAATATCACACGCAAGTAAAATTTTGCTGAAGATCATTCAAAAGTGATTGTAGCAGTACACCGACAGGGAACTGCCAGAAATTCAAGCTGGATTCTGAAGAGGACGTAGAATGAGGGATATCATTGCTGATGTCAGATGGATCCTGACTGAAAGCAGAGAATACCAGAAAGATGTTTACCTGTGTTTTACTGACTATGTAAATGCATTCAACTATGTGGATCATAACAAATTATGGAAACACTGCAAAGAATGGGAATTCCAGAACACTTAGTTGTGCTCATGAGGAAACTGTACATAGATCAAGAGGCAGTCATTCGAACAGAACAAGAGGATACTGCATGGTTTAAAGTCAGGAAAGGTGTGCGTCAGGGTTGTATCCTTTCACCATACTCATTCAACCTGTATGCTGAGCAAATAATTCAAGAAGCTAGAGTATATGAAGAGTAACGGGGCATCAGGACTGGAGGAAGACTCATTAACAACCTGCTTTATGCAGATGAAACCTTGCTTGCTGAAAGTGAAGAGGACTTGAAGACTTACTGATGAAAATCAAAGAATACAGTCTTCAGTATGGATTACACCTCAATTAAAGAAAACAAAAATCCTCACAACTGGACCAATAAGCAACATCATGATAAATGGAGAAAGGATTGAAGTTGTCAAGGATTTCATTTTATTTGGATCCACAATCAACACCCATGGACACAGCAGCCAAGAAATCAAAAGACGCATTGCATTGGGCAAATCTGCTGCAAAAGACCTCTTTAAAGTGTAAAAAAGCTAAGATGTTCATTCAAGGACTAAAGTGTGCCTGGCCCAAGACATGGTGTTTTCAATTGCCTCATATGCGTGTAAAAGCTGGACAATGAATAAAGAAGATCGAAGAACTGACATCTTTGAGTTATGGTGTTGGTGAAGAATGTTGAATATACCATGGACTGCCAAAAGAATTAACAAAGCTGTCTTGGAAGAAGTACAGCCAGAACGCTCCTTAAAAGTACAGATGACAAAACTTTGTCTCACATATACTTTGGACAAGTTATCAGGAGGGACCGGTCGCTGGAGAAGGATAACATGCTTGGTAAAGTACAGGATCAGCAAAAAAGAGGAAGACCCTCAAGGAGATGGATTGACACAGTGGCTGCAACAATGGGCTCAAGCATAACAATGATCATGAGGATGGCAGACCAGGCAGTATTTTGTTCTGTTGTACATACGGTTGCTATGAGTTGGAACTGACTGGATGGCACCTAACAACAACGACAACTTCAAATTCTTCTTAAGGCCCTCTTTCACTTTATGGCAGCTATTCTTCCCTTTATACACTACATAACCCTGACTAGTACCCAGATTCTTTTTTTTAGTTTTTCATTCAAAAATTTATACCCAAATTTTTCTCTGACATTAGTTGCAATCCCCACAAGGTGTCAGCATTCTTGCCCTTTCCCTTTCCACCCTGGGTTATCAGTGTCTGTCCAGTTTTCCTGTCCCTTCCTGCCTTCTCATCTTACTTTTAGGCAGGTGTTGTCCATTTTGTGTGCATACTTGATTGAAATAAGAAGCACATTCCTCACATATTATTGTTTGTTTTATAGGACTGACTAATCTTTGGCTGAAAGGTGGACTTTGGTAGTGGCTTCAGTTCTGAGTTAGCAGGCTGTCCGGGGGCCATAGTCTTGGGGGTTCCTCCAATCTCTATCAGACCAGCAAGTTTGGTCTATCTTTGTGAATTTGAATTTTATTCTACATTTTTCTCCAGCTCTCTCCAGGACCCTCTACTGTGATCCCTGTCAGAGTGATTGGTGGTGGTAGCTGGGCACCATCTAGTTGTTCTGGGCTCAGGCTGGTGGAGGCTGTGGTTTACATGGTCCATTAGTCCTTGGACTAGTATTTTCTTTTATCTTTGGTTTTCCTCATTCTCCTTTGTTCCCAATGTGATGAGACCAACAGATGTATCTTAGAAGGCTGCTGACAAGTCATCCTTTAGGCTTCCTTGAGTGCAGTGACCCTTGTCACTTGTTAGGCTTGTTCCTTCTGGAAGCTGTATCTAGGGAATTGTGTTGTAAGAGATATCGTTTCCCATGGGGCATGAGGCTTCTAAGCCAGGGAGGCTCCCACACCTAGCCAAGGTGGGTTTTGTCTTCTTACATCTGAGTTATGCTGCAAAGACTCCCACAGAAGAGCAGCACCTGATGCTGCCCTGCTGGCACGCTGCATTTCCTGTCCTATATCCTTCTGAGTAGAATGGTGCCAAGTATGGCCTATGAGAGTCTTGTGAGTTGAATGTTAAAGCGAACACCACTCAGTGGTAGGCTTGTAGAGGATCCCAGAACCATATGGAAATACATTCTAAAAAAGGGTGAAGGCTATAGAAGGGATTGATGAGGTTAGAGCAATTCTCACAGATGGGAATCTGGTCTGAGTGATTATCAAAGCCTCTTTTATGGAGGAGACCTCATCCTTGCCTAGAACAAGCTCTTCTTCCTCAAATTTGAATGGGTGAGGAGAAGCTGTGCTGGCAAGGTACTGTCTTACCTGAAGTTCTTGATGAGTTTATCTGCAAAGGCACCCAGGAAGAGTGCACTTAAAATGTTTTTAACGTAAGCAGGAATATAGTGTTCAGGAACTCCCCACAGACGGGCATGCAAGGCCAGCATCTCATACCCTGTCAAGTGTTCCAGCAAAGGGTCATATTGGGGGCAGTAGCTGATTTGTTGATGAATCTGAAACAAGAAAGCATCTGGGAGTAAAGGACCCAAGGTAGGAGGTTGGACTGAAAGTATATTGAGGGACATTTGAGAGATAGAGGACTTAGAGTCTCTCTTCATTTTATAAAGATTTGCTCCCTACCACTTACTTTTGCCACTATGGATCATCTGCAGCTGCTGCCTATTAGTGGGGAATACTATAGTAATCTTCAATTAAAAATTGGTTCAATTCCAAGACATAAACATTTATTGAGCCCCTGCTATGGACTACATGCTATGCAACTACTTTATAATCTTTCTGGGAAGAGTACGTCTGTTGGTCAGTCTCTCTCTCTCTCTCTCTTATACACACACACACACACAAGATAATAAACTGAGACAGTATATGTGAAAGCACCTCCAAATGAGTGGTATAATCAGTAAGTTTGATGGAAGAGAAAATCCTGGGGACATGAGAGCCATTTTCAAATATATGAAGCTATAATGAAGGGTTTTCATGCTGAGGAGGAATTACTATGATGGCATACTTACAGCTTCAAAGGACACAAGTTTAAAATGAGTACTTAAAAAAAAACTCTTTAATTCGGCCATTCAGAATTCAAGTGTCCTTCCTTTCTTAAAGTATCTTACTTTCTGTTGCACTATGGGATAGACTTGAGAATAGCAAAGCTCGAAAACCTACAGATGTAGGCAGGTAAAGTAAAGAGGTGGAGTGGCCAGGTATTCAGTAAGTGGTGGAGTCTGTGGTGAAATGAAAAATGAATAGCCAGCCATTCAGGTGAGGTAGCCACCAGTTAGCCCTAGGCAATTGTTGCCATGCAGGAATTCAGATCCAGTACCGCCAGGTCTTCTTCTTTTTTTAAGAGAAGCCAGAAATCCTTTTATGTGTAATGAGTTGATATAAAAATATTACCAACCAACTCTATAACCTACCTGGAGCAAATTTGACTAGTTTGTGACCTTTTCACTAAACCAATTCTTGGTAAAGAAGATTAAAACTCTGGCTGAGTGATTTGAGATTTGACTTCCTAACTTTTAAGGACATCTAAACTTGACAGTTATTATTGTAATAACCATAATCAGTGGAGGTAACTAATTCTATAGAGTCACTTGAAGACAAATTACTGCTAGAGTCAGTAACTAGGAATAACCAATAAAAAACAGGACCTATGGGAAATGATTATGTCTGGAAATGCTAGTATATATTTAAGCAAAGTCCTTTTGACAGGTGCAAATAAAAGTGGATTAGTTACAGCAGTAATTCTTTATCTTTTCTCTTTGTAACCATGTAGAAAATCTCCTTCCTATTTTACCTATGGGTAAGGACATCATCTGCGCATTCCACAGTGGCCATGCTGACTCAGAGGAACTTGAGCCAGGCTTAGAAAGAAAGGAATGTATTTGCTTAGAGAGATAAATCATCCCCTCAACCCCTGGTCAGATTACATTTCAGAAATAAAGAAGCCACTGGACAGTAAGAGTGGAAGAGGGACTATATCATATAAGAAGCTCTTACTCTAAGTTTTGGGTTTCTCATTACTGCTCTTCTAACTTCGTATGAGGCTGAAACAAAACCTTTCCTCCTTGAGGCTAATTTTTATTACTTAATCCTCTAATTTTCCTTGCCCTGTCATTTATTGGCCCCACATTCAACAAAATGCCTCAGTTCTCCTCTTCCAAATTTGTCCCTGTTGATGTACAGCTGCAGTCATTTATGAATTATCTACAGCAAAAACGTAGTCTAACAGATATCAATATATACCATTTTGGCCTATGTTAAGAATCTTCAACTTAATAGTAACTGGGTAAAATTTACTGCTGGCAGAAATGGAGAGCTCATTGTTATATCTGTCTGTAATGGTCAAGTTGTGTGTCAACTTGGCTGGGCCATGACTCTTGGTGGTTTAGCAGTTATGTAATGATGTAGTTTGGCAGTTATGTAATGATGTAGTCATCTTCCATGATGTGATTAGCCAATCAGTTTTAAGGGAAGTTTCCTCGGGGGTGTGGCCTGCATCCAATATACATATGAACGTTCTGGCAAAGCTCACTTTGCTTGCTCTGGGTCCTGCATCCAACTCATCATCATCTGACCTCTGGTTTTTGGGACTTGAGTCAGCGGCCTGCCATACTGCCTGCCGAACTTGGGATTTGTCGGCCTCCACAGCCTGTGAACCAGCAGCCTTGTCTTACCTGCCGATCTTGTATTCGTCAGCCTCCACAGCCTGTGAACCAGCAGCCTTGCCTTACCTGCCGATTTTGTATTCGTCAGCCCCTGCAGCTACATGAGTCAGGAAAAGCCTCCAGCTTGACACCTGACCCACAGACTTGGGACTTGCCAGTCCACCAGTCAGAGTGGGGCATATGGTAGGTCAGGTTATTAATGGAGTCTTAGCTCAGGTTTGTCTCACACTGGGTCCAATGGGCTCCCAAACCCATCCAGTAGTGATTTCCCCAGTTCCCGAATGCATAATTGGAATAGGTATATTTAGTAACTGGCAAAACCCCACACTGGATCCCTGACAAGTGGAGTAAGGGCTATTATGGTAGGAAAAGCCAAGCGGAAGCCGTTAGAACTGCCCCTAGCTAGGAAAATAGTAAACCAAAAGCAACACTGCATTCCTGGAGGGATTGCAGAAATTACTGCTACTATCAAGGACTTTGAAGGATGTAGGGGTGGTGATTCCAACCACATCCCCATTCAACTCGCCTATTTGGCCTGTGCAAAAAAACAGATGGATCTTGGAGAGTGATAGTGGATCACTGTAAACTTAACCAGCTGGTGACTCCAATTGCAGCTGCTGTTCTAGATGTGGTTTCACTGCTTGAGGAAAGTAATACAAAACTCCTGGTACGTGGTATGCAGCTATTGATCCGGCCAATGGCTTTTTCTCAGTTCCAATTTTGTAGAAACACAAGAAGCAGTTTGCCTTCAGCTGGCAAGGCCAGCAATACACCTTTACTGTCCTATCTCAGGGCTACATGAACTCTCCAGCCTTATGTCATAATTTAGTCTGCAGGGACCCTGATCACCTTTCCTTTTCAAAAGACATCAAACTAGTCTATTACATGTATGACATTATACTGATTGCACATAGTAAGGAAGAAGTGTCAATGACTCAGGACTTATTGGTAAAAAAATCTGCATGCTAGAGGGTGGGAAAGTAATCTCACAAAAATTCAGGCGTCTTCCACCTCATTGAACTTTCTACGGGTCCAGTGACATGCGGCATGTTGAGAAATTCCTTCTAAAGTGAAGGACAAATTTTTACCTCTGGTCCCTCCTACAACTAAAAAGGAGGCATAATGCTTGGTGGGCCTCTTTGGATTTTGGAAGCAACATATCACTCATTTGGGTGTACTACTCTGGCTTACTTATCAAGTGACCTGAAAAGCTGCTCTCTGGACCTTCCAGCAAAGCTCTTTTGCTTGCTCTGGATCCTGCATCCAGCTAGTCACCATCTGACCTTCAGTTCTTGGGACTTGAACCAGCTGCCTGCCATATTGCCTGCTGATCTTGGGCTTCATCAGCCTCTGCAGCCTGTGAGCCAGCAGCCTGCTGTCTGACCTGCCGATCTTGGGTTTGTCAGCCCCTGCAGTTACGTGAGTCAAGAGAAGCCTCCAGCCCGATGCCTGACCCACGGACTTGGACTGTCAGCCTCTACAACCATGTGAGCCAATTCCTTGAGATAAATCTCTCTCTCTCTTTATCTACATATATATACACACTTCACTGGTTTTGCTTCTCTAAGGAGCTCAGCCAAAGATACTGTTCAACTTATTTTAGTAGCTGATAAGAGCTTTATCTGTCTTGATTCAAGATGCTGGATTTAAGTGATAGAAAGGTTGTTAAAATGAGCTCTTACCCACAGGCTGGGTGAAAACTAGATACTTAAAATAATCAAAACCCAAAACCACAACAATAAAAAAATAAACCAATGGTGATTGGGGATCGAGAGCTCATTCTCCTTGAGCCTGACTGCAGGTAATCTTCTATGAGATAATAATAAGCTAGTTGGGTCTGAGTCTGGTATTTATACTCCAAGAACATCAGGAGACACTCTCCATTCAGACTGCAAAACGAAGCTTTTATTTGTCTGCCAGTTCTAGCCAAACCTCTATAGCGGGCTGCTTTTCTTTTTTTTTTAAAGAGTAAATTTATTACCAATACAACAAATCAAAATAGCAAACTCTTAAATAGTGTTCATTATGTGCCAGGCACTATTTTAAGTGCTTTTAAATATTAAAAATCCACAGCTAACATCATACTCAATGGTGAAAGACTGAAAGCTTTCCCTCTAAGATCAAGACAAGGACAGCTGCTTTCACTACTGCTATTAAACATTGTATTGAAAGTTCTAGCCAGAGCAGTTAGGCAACAAAAAGAAAAGGCATCCAAATCAGAAAGGAAGAAGTAAAACTATCTCAATTCACAGATGACATGATCTTATATATAGAAAATTCCAAAGAATTCACAAGAAAGCTACTAGAACTAATAAATGAATTTATCAGAGTTGCAGGGTACAAGATTGACAACACCAAAATCAGTTGTGTTTCTATATATCAGCAATAAACAAACTGAAAAGAAAATTAAGAAAACAATTCCATTTATAATAGCATCTAAAAGAATAAAATACCTAAGAATAAATTTAACCAGGGAGGTAAAAGATTTGTACACTGAAAACTGAAAAACACTGTTTAAAGAAATTAAAGACCCAAATAAATAGATCTTCTTTTACTTCTCATGTTCACGGATTGGAAGACTTAATATTGTTAAAATGTCAGTACTACCCAAAGTGATCTACAGATCCAATGCAATTTCTATCAAAATTCTAATAGTCACTTTTTTTTTGCAGAAATGGAAAAGCTGATTCTCAAATTCATATGAAACTGCAAGGGAACATCAATAGTCAAAACAATCTTGAAGAAGAAAAACAAAATAGGACTCACACTTCCCAGTTTTAAAATGTACTTTAATGCTATGGCAATCAAAACAGTGTTGTGCTGGCATAAGGACAGACATACAGACCAAAAGAATATAACTGAGAGTCCAGGAATAAACCCATACATTTATGGCCAGTTGATAATCGGCAAGGGTACCAAGTCCACTTAATGGAGAAAGAACAGTCTCTTCAACAATGGTGTTGGGACAACTGGATCTCCACACGCAAAAGAATGCAGTTGGACCCATACCTCACACTGTACGTAAAAATCAACTCAAAATGGATCAATTACCTAAATATAAGAACTATAACCATAACAGTCTTAGGAAAAAACATAGGGTAAAGCTTCAAAATCTTGTTTCTGACAATGGATTCTTAGATATGATACCAAAAGCATGAGCAACAAAAGAAAAAACAGATAAACTGGACTTTACCAAAATTAAAAATTTTTGTTCATTGAAAAGCTTTATCAAGAGAGTGATGAGACAACCTATAGAATGGGAGAAAATATTTGGTAACCATATATCTGAAAAGCATGTAATATCCAGAATCCATAAAGAACTCCTACAGCTCAACAACAAAAAAGACAAAAAACCCTATTGAAAAAAGGGCAAAGGACTTGAAAAAACATTTCTCCAAAGAAGACATAAAAATGACCAATAGTCACATATAAACATGGCCAATAGTCACAGAAAAAGATGTTCAACATCATTAGTCATTAGGGAAATGCAAATAAAAAACACAATGAGATACCATTTCACACCCACTGGGATGGCTATGGGGCTCCGGTGGCAGAGTGGTTAAGAGTTCTGCTGCTAACCAAAAAGTCGGAAGTTCGAGTCCACCAGCTGCTCCTTGGAAATCCTGCTCGCTATGAGCCGGAATCAGCTCGACAGCATCAGGTTTGGTTTTTTTGGTGGGATGGTTATTATCATAACCATGGAAAATAAGTGTTGGGGAGGATGTAGAGAAATTGGAACCCTCATGCATTGCTGGTGGGAATGTAAAATGGTGCAGCTACTCTGGAAAACAGGCTATTGGTTCCTCAAGATGTTAAACATAGAATTACCATTAGACCCAGCAATTCCACTCCTAGGTATATATCCAAAAGACTAGAAAGAACAGACTCAAACAAATAATTGTAGACCAATGTTCACTGCACCATTATTCACAATAACCAAAAGTCAGAAACAACCCAAGTGTCCATCAATTAATGAATAACAAAAATGTGGTGTATATATATATGTATATACACACACATACATATATACACAATGGAATATTATTCAGCCATAAACAGAAATGAAGTTCTGATCCTTGCTAGACATGGTTGAACCTTGAAAACATTATGCTAAGTGAAATAAGTCAGATACAAAAAGTGAAATAAGTCAGCAACAATGACAAATATTGTGTGATCCCACTTATTTGAAATTATCTAGAATAGGCAAATGCATAGCGACACAAGTTTATAGTTGTTATCAGGCGTGGGGGTGGGAGAGGGCTGAATGGGGAGTTATTGCTTAAGGGATACTGAGGTTCTCTTTGGAGTGATGAAAAATTTTTGTAAATAGATAGTGGTGATGGTTACACAACACAATGAAAAGAATTACAGTTAATTAACGCCACTGAATTATACACTTAAAATTTATTAAAACAGCAAAATTTTTGTTATATACATTTTACCACAATAGAAAAATACTTTTCAGAAAATTTGGATTTGGGGACAAAAGTTTTAAACTTAGGTTCACTATAATTTAATATATACAATTCAGTTGTACTTGGCTATGGCTGGCCATATTTAAATAGCTATTATGCTTTCTCTTACTCATAGTATAAAATAACAGAAGTTATAGGATTTCTACCAATGAAAAAACATTAATTAATTCTCACAATAACTCTATGAGGTATTCTAGCCTGATTTTCAGATGAGGCAACAGAATAAGCTGCCCCAGGTCATAAACTAGGAAGAGTCAGAGTTGGGATTTATAACTCAGCCAGTCAGTCTCCCCATTTCCTGTTGAATGCCCCTTATATGTCCTATACTGTCATAGGTCCTGTGGCTTCTACTGTGATTAAGGCAGATGCAGATCTTCCCTCAAGAAGCTTACAATCCAGCGGGAAAGAAAGAATGTTTTTCCTTCATCACAGTTCTCCATACAGCCTTTCTCACCGGGATTCTGGGAGAGAATTAAATACCACAGAAAATGATTTGAGGGACTATTTCTCAGTTCTCTCAAGGACAGTACAATCTAGTACCATTCTGGATGCACAGGAAAGAAGATAATTTGTTACATACAATGGATGCCTTAGGACATTAGGATAAACTCTCCTGGAAACCTAGTTGAAAAGAGTTGAAGCACTTGCTTTTGAATTCTAGTGAATGGAAAGCATCTTACCTTTTCTATGCTTTTGCTGATATTTTTGTTATCAAATACAACCTCCCCGGAAGTGATGGTCTCATCTCCAGTCAACATTTTGAAGATGCTGCTTGTCCCAGCTCCATTGAAGCCTAGCAGCCCAAAGCACTCTCCTTTCTGAACCGCAAAGGTGAGCCTATTTACTGCCACAACAGGCACCCACTGAAAATGTATCTAAGGAAACATACAGTTCACAAAAATCTTTACGTCCAGAACAGTAGCCATAGAACCCATTCCTAGTTTTTGGGGGCAGCCCCCTCCAAGCCCTGGTGGCTTCTCCTCCCCAAAACAGAGAAAGAGATCAACTATCCTGAATCAGTGACATCTCCAATAGGTTTCTGATAGAAAAAGCCAGAACTACACCATCACCAATTGACTGTACCTTCAAGAGTTCTTTAAGGATCAGAGGACTGTTCAAGGATGATAGGTTCCCTGGGGGACACTCCAGGACTTTGTCTTGTTCATCCGTCACATCATAGTCATAAGGTACTAATGACGACCCGTCACTGACCTGTACCTACATTCCCGAGACAAGGATCACAGCTGTGAATGATCTTTAGGCAGAGCAGATTTAACCATCAGGCCCTAGTAAGCACAGTGCCTAGGATCCACAACAGTTTTAGGGGCCCACAAAAATGTTCACATTTTTTTTTAGTCAGAAAAAGGAATATAATTGAGCTTGAATTATATTTGACTTTTTACTAACACAGCCATAATATATATATATGTGTGTGTATATACATATATACAAATGAACCCATTGCTGTCAAATTGATTCCAACTCATAGCAACCCTATATATATATGTTTTTTTAAATGGAAGAAGAGGTCCACAAAGGCAAAAGTATCAGAAGATCCATGAAAGTCATACTGTAGTCCGGCCTTTAGGCACCTAGTCTAGCTTGCGCTGGAGCTAGAAAACTACAGGGACTTAAGTGAGGGGAAGTGCATCTTCTGAGACTGTAAGACAGAGAGAGGTTCTGTGAAGGTCTTAGGGTCGGCTTCCTACTCATTCTCTTAGCTCTCCCATAATCTTATCTTCCATAGGTTTGCTGTCATTGCACAAAATTTAAAATTATAGGTAATGAAATTAATCGATCTTTTTCATTGTAATTTCTAGGTTTTCTCCATGTATTCTTTTAGTAGTTTTACAGTTTCATCTTTTAGGTTTAAATCACTGATCCATTTGGAATTTAATTTGGCATAATCATCTACAGAAGATTTTGGAAATTCAGGACATACAGCTGTGGTTAAAGTTACTTGCTTTTTCTAGGAAGAGAGATCTAACACAAAGCTATAGGCATACTGAAAACATCTTTTGTATGATCAGAAAAAAAAGTGCATCTGAGATTTCACTGTTGATCTAGAGTGTGAAGATATTTTAAAAATTGTCCCTAAGGAGACTTGGTTTTATTGACATTTGAATCCATAGTTAAGAACACTTATAAGAGGCATAATCACTCTATCAGGTAATTGTAATGTTATTGGCTGAGATCACAGGTGGCATGTAGTCATTTAGGGTGGTCAACCTTTCCAGTTTGCCAGGGATGAGGAGGTTCCCCCAGGATGTGGAGTCAATAAACAAAGAGAAAACGGGCTTAGGATCCTAAAATTTTGCAGACCAAGGGTGCTGCCAGGAAGACTGCCATTTCAAAAAACAAGTTTAAATAACAAATGCACAGATATTTAACATGGATACAAAGACAATATACTTAGTACAAATCATACATACACAAAGGAAGTGAGGGGTTTTTCATTCCGGCTGTTTACGGGCTTCATTTTTAAGAAGAGGAGAGAAGAAATTGTTGCCAGCCATAAAAACCAAATTGAGGGAACATTTCTGACTTAAGACAGAAAATCTGGCTTTTAACTTATGTGTCACTGAGATACCAGGCCTCAGTTTCCTTGAAGTGAGGGGCTTGAATATTTAGTTCTCAATTCAGGAAAAATGACAAAATATATTAACAGAGCCATTTTCTGGGTGCAAGGTGGTTGAAGCTGTGTCAGAGAGAATCTTCGTTCAGTATTTATAAGTTAGATGTTCATCTACTTACCATCTTTCGTTTTTTGAGGAAGTGACAATATACGAAATTAGAGTAAACAGATTGAAATGTCGAGAGGTTGGTCTCAATGATGAAAAGCAGGGTGAGAAAAAGGAAGCCTGTGACAATCATGGCAGTCACATACTTTCCAATCCCATGACCTTCGAATCCATAATAGTTTTCCTCATATTTAATGTCTGGGAAAGACAAAAGGAGATGTGCTCATTTTAACACATGGGGAGTACTCACTTCACTCACTTGTTGGGTTTGGAAAGTTGTTTTTTTTTAATTGTGCCTTAGATGAAGGTTTACAGAGCAAATTCATTTCTCATTAAACAATTAATAAACGTAGTGTTTTGTGACATTGGTTGCCAACCCCACAACATGTCAACACTCTTCCCTTCTCGACCCTGGGTTCCCCGTTACCAGCTTTCCTGTCCCTTCCTGCCTTCTTGTCCTTGTCACGGGCTGGTGTGTACAATTTAGTCTCGTTTGGAAAGTTCGATTTTTTTAAAATCAGTTTTTTCTTTTACTTTTTTCAAAGGTGTTAGTACATAAAGACTATGTTACTTGAGGCAGTAAAGGTGAGGCTTGAGCCTATGTGAATAGAAGTTAATGTTATAATCAAATAAACTTAAGATAAAATTAATGTCATATATTTGATGACATATTTACTGTTGAGCTGCATGGTAACCAGCCATATGTCATAAGCAGTTTATTAATTTATCCTTCTTATGTATTTAAACCAACTATAAACAATTTTCATTACGTCTGTCAATTTACAATTCCCACTTCTCAAAGAACTGCCCTCCAATTTCCTTCTTCTTTAAAAGATAGTAGACCCCCAGGATCCATGTCTGACTACTTGATCCCCATCTGCCTAGCTTAGGGGTGGGCATATAACCCAACTAGGTTAATCAGATTCTCTCAATTGCATTCTGAAACTGGTATAGTAGAGTCAGTCTCCTTGTGTGTCTCAGTGTAAACTGTGGAGCTATGGACTGTCACGTTGATTAGGAAAAGCATTTACCAGAAAGAAAGAACTAATGAGATGTGTGGAGACAGGTTGAGATGAGACACAGAAAGAAAATACTACTTCCAGTTTTTCCTGAGATTAGACTGCATTCCTATTAGTACTCTTGGGCTCCACGAGATGGCCCTTTATCATTAAAATAATTTTCCATTTTTTCTTAAACTCAACATGGCAAGATGCTCTTTTTCTGATACTTGTGCTCAAAAAGTCCTAATGCTTAGTGGTTCACTTAAATTAACTGAATTACTCTTACTTTTAAACCTAGTTTAAAAATTGTTTTTCTTCTCCTTTAGGTTTATAATTGGGGTCAATATCCACAATGATCAACGTATAGTTGAATAGTTACATCTCTGTCTTATACAACCATAGGCTCTTTGATCTCTCTCTTATACAAACAGAGGCATGCATTAAAAGAATGAAAAATACTCCTCAACATCCTGGATACCCTGATTCCTGAACCACCTTGATCAATGTTGGCACTCCTCCTACTCCTCCCACACAGTCACTATTTTTCTGACCCATATTTACTCTAAAATGACGAACATAAAACTACCCATAAGATCAGACTTGCCTTTAAGAGTACTGAGGCATTTCCTTCTCTCCCAAATATCATTAAAACTTTTCCTCTTGTGCCTGGTATTATTTTAATATTTTTAAACACTCCACTTTTTCATTTAGAGATAAGGTTTAACATGCAAATACAGAAGGGCACTAAAGCCTATTCACAGTGGAATATAATGGACTAGTAACAGAATCTTTTAGAACTCACTTGGAGGTTACAGTTAATAAAGATCCTGGGTGCTTCAAGCTTCAGCTTCCTCAGAATGCAAGAGCAGCTGATACTCCTGAACCTATTTGCTAACCTTCCCCCATACTACAAAAGTAGCATAAAGCCAGGGCAGAAGGCAGGGAGGCTCCACTTTGGCAACAGGGCCCCATCCTGTTGATGAGTTCCCTAAACTTTCTTTCTGGGGTCTCTGCTGTTTTACCCAGAATGCCGGCTTGAGTTCTAATCCCTGCTCCTTACGAAGCTTGCCTACATGGAATTCTGACCTTTTCCTGCCCTTCCCTGCTATGTTACTTCCCTGAACTATGTTTCCTATATGAAATCATGGTAGGTGCATGTTGAATCTCACTAATTGACTTTTTGATCCATTGTGGAGACCCTCTTGCTTTAATCAAGTTCCTAAAAGGGGACAGTCCAACCCTACCCTATCTTTCTGCCTCTCAAAAGCTTGCATAACAGGAAGTTTACCAAGGATAAGTTCTGTTTATCTTCAACCATGTTTAGATGAACAGAAGCTACATGTTGAGGTATTTTGGGTCAGACAGATAGACTTGCGGTACATGCAGTTTAGAGAAGAGTTTCCCATCACTCTTCTATAGTCACTCAAAATGATTTGAGTTTATTTGGGGGCTAAAGGGTCAAGTGGGTATGTATCAGGCCTACAGAGAATGATTCTCCTATACAGTTGAACTAAATCACCACTATTGCAGTTTCTGCTCTGGTAAGCAGTGATTCTCTATATCAGTCTCACTGTCTCTCCAGTTTTTGGGGTGGCAGTGCTATTCAGTTTTTAAAAATATTTTATGACTACAAAATGGAGACGTAAACATTTAAAAGATAAGTACTAGACTTTATGAATAAAAGAACCAGATAAACTAACTTGGTGGCCAAGATTTTTTTGCTTTATTTCCCTACCTAATGTTACTATTTCCATTTCTGCCAAAATGTCATCAGCTCTATTCTTTCAGAACATTCAATAAATGAATAGCCCATTTCACTAGCAGGTGAACCGAGAGCCAAGTGCAATGTGTAATAGTAGTATCTATAAAGATTTAAAAAAGAAAAACAAAGAAAAGGACACTGGACCTAGGGAGTCCAGAAAAGCAAGGTTTATAACAGGGCTTTGAACCCGTTTGGTACCTGTTCGAAACAGTTCAGTAACTGCCAATGTAAACAAGGGCAGTGTAAGTGCTGCACAGCAACCAAATCTGTCGCCCCTCAGATTTTTACCTGAGTAGGAAATAACCCCACCACGTGTCTGTCAGTTTGTTGTACTGTGGGGGCTTGCATGTTGCTGTGATACCAGAAGCTATGCCACTGGTATTCAAATACCAGCAGGGTCACCCATGGTAGAGAGGTTTCAGCTGAGCTTCCAGGCTAAGACAGACTAGGAAGAAGGACCTGGCGGTCTACTTCTGAAAAGAATTAACCAGTGAAAATCTTATGAATAGCAGCGGAACACTATCTGATGTAGTGACAGAAGATGAGCCCTTTAGGTTGGAAGGCACTCAAAATACGACTGGGGAAAAGCTGCCTCCTCAAAGTAGAGTCGACCTTAATGACGTGGATGGAGTCAAGCTTTTGGGACTTTCAGTTGTGATGTGGCATAAATCAAAATGAAAAGAAACAGCTGCAAACATCCTCTAATAATCGGAACATGGAATGTATGAAGCATGAATCTAGGAAAATTGGAAATCATCAAAAAATCAAATGGAGGGGAACACCTAGCTCAACTGGCATAACATAGTTTATAAAGAAAATGTTCTACATTCTACCTTGGTAATTAGTGTCTGGGGTCTTAAAAGCCTGTGAACAGCCATCTAAGATACTCCCCTGGTCTCATCCCTTCGGGAGCAAGGGAGAATGAAGAAAACAAGATACAAGGAAAAGATTAGTCCAGAGGACTAATGGACCACAACTACCAGGGCCTCCACCAGACTGAGTCCAGTACAGCTAGATGGTGCCCGGCTACCACCACTGACTGCTCTGACTGGGATCACAAGAAGGGTCCTGGACACAGCTGGAGAAAAATGTAGAACAAAATTCTAACTCACAAAAAAAGATCAGACTTACTGGCCTGAGAGAGACTGGAGAAACCCTGAGAGTATGGCCCCCGGACACCTTTTCAGCTTAGTAATGAAATCACTCCCGAGGTTCACTCTTCAGCCAAAAATTAGACAGCCCCATAAAACAAAATGAGACTAATGGGGCACAACAGCCAAGGGACAAGGACTAGAAGGCAGGAGGGGACAGGAAAGCTGGTAATAGGGAACCCAAGGTCGAGAAGGGAGAGTGTTGACATGTCGTGGGGTTGTTAACC